TGTTCGGTTTCAGTGCGTTGTCGTGTGGACGAACGGCCAAACCGCGTAAAAAAAGTCACGGTTATAAAAATACCCGTGTCCGTGTGGACAGGGCCTAAGAAATTTACTACGACTGGTTTATCACATGTGAACAACAACCTGAACATCATACTGTATTCAATTACCCAATGATTTAAATTACCGAAGTGTTATTTTCAGTTTTCAGAAAAATAAAAAAGTTATTTTGGTGCATCACTATCACCAAGGTGTTGTAATTCGATTACAAAGACCTTCAGAATCATTGTTAGCATGTTGCTATGCAGTTATTGGGATGTTTTGGGCAGCGTTGGACTAGAAAATTAGCTAAGCTAAAAGTTTAACTTTTAAAGTAGCTGGATCCAAAAAAAGCCACAGGGCACATTTAAACTATATGTTGTTCATAAATGTAAAATCATTTGATTTGTTGAAAAGAACTAACTGAAAGAACCCCAAAAAATTATTCATTCTCGAATCACACTATTTTGTTCTAATTACAAACAGCTTGATTTTGGAAAAACTGTTGGAGAAAATGAGTTTATCAAAGCTATCGCACTACTTAATTATTAAAATAGGGGTTCTACTAAAAACCTGCATCCTTTCAAAACTAATGATGCAACTGCCGAGAAATGTAGCTTCGCTATTTGTAGCAACGCTATACACCCAACACGGTTTCAGGGTGGTTGCTAAGGCAAGAGGTTTGTTTAAATCCCAACCCTAAGTATGAGCAATACTGATAGTGATGCTTGCCTTAGCAAGCACAACTAATTATTCAGTCATGACATGCTGAATTCAAGGAGAAAATGAAACTGGAAAAATAAACGAGGAGGATTAAATTACCAATCACCCTTTCTGCAACATTTGGCAAGTGGACGGGTCTTACGGGCCAGGCACTTGGCAGATGAACAGTGGCTAGCGCTGAAGGCAGCGAAGGGGCTTAGATGGATCACAGGCACCTCTGTTTGTGCAAATCACACTTATATTAGCAAAGGTGGAAAGCATTTAGAGGTGTGCTTGTCCAGCAAATGTCCCTACTAATACTAATGTCAACTACACATGTCTAAATATCATGCCAAAATAGCACTTTAGGTGTATGGTCTCAGAACTGGACTGCATACATGGTGACTGGATCACATCAGCTGAAATATATATGCGAGATAACGTGAACAGGGCTGAGGAATGAGAGATTAAACTCTCATAAGCCCACTACGTTTATCTAGCGTTTCCATCGGTCGGCTCAAAATGTTTGTGAATTTCGGGGAAAGCAAAGCCGGTCCTACAACAGATTGCAATCACAGCATCTCTCCGAGTTCTGTCTACCTGTTCAACATTACGGAGACGAGACATGACAACAAATCACAGTTTTTCTGCACTGAATTCCAAAGCAGTCACGTTGAAAACTCATTTACACACCCTCGTGTTGTTTCAAATATTCTTGTGTGGTAGCTATCTAGCAGAATGTCCAAGCTGCTCTTTCCATAAAATAAAAGCATGTAGTCATACAGGTTTTGGGACAGAGGCATGAGGGTGAGAAAATTATGACAGATGAGTCATTTTTGGGAGATCTACCCCTTTAAAAACTCACATTGTGGAACCATCCACAACCTCAACTATTAACCTTCACTCAGAGTCAGAGCACATGCTACAGAGGAGAAACACGGCAGTTGTGCTCGAAGCCAAAAGAGTTTGATTACATTGAATCCTCCTACATTTCAGCAAAGGGGCTCGGAGGGGTCGCAGGGTCTGCGTTCAGAAATGAAAGTACACAGGAAGGAATGCATGCCTCACTCACTTGAACTATTTCGAGTCTCTAAAGTTCAGACTTTGTAACAGGAAGGCAGTATAACAGGTATGAACTTTTACAGTACCACTGTTGCTAGGACAAGGCAAGCAGGCAACAGTGGTCAGAATGATCAGGCAAATTATCAGAATGTCTCGTTCACTTACTATTTGTACAAATCATTTGGCACAAACCTCTTAGGGACAGATTTACTACTCACAGCTTGCTCCAGTGCAAACCCTCTATTGGTGTTAAAAAAAACAACTACTGTCAGGATTTACTAAAAAGACAGAGTTAAAAATGTGCGCTGAAAAGGCACAGACACAGTTATTTTTGCAGATGACCTTATGCATTTGTAGGAGTTTCATTTCAGATGCAAAATGAATGTGAAGAGAGTTTTTAAATGAATCACGCAAGGTGATTTACTTAGGTTTGCGCTAGTTAATTTACTGATATTTGCGCCATTATTTACCGCCCCAAAAAAGCATGTCTTAAACCAGACGCTAATTTGCGCTGCTCTTGGTAGATTGTGATGGTCATTATGGAAATGTGTTCTAGATCACGTGCAGATCTTTCCAATGCCATCAGCGCTTTTTTGGAATTGCGCTCTCGCGCTTATTTGCCCTGTTTAATCAATCTGGTTCTTAAAGGGATATTTCACCCAAAAATAAATAGGCATATTCTGGAATTTACTCATTTTAAGTCATTCTAAACCTGTATGACTGACTTTCTTCTGCAAAACACAAAAATATGCTATTTTATAGAGCGCTGGCGTCCAAAAATGTTAGGATACAATTGGCTTTCATTGTATGGATAAAAAAAAAAAAAAAACATTCCAAAAAAAAAAAATCCAAACTATTTTATGATGTATACTATTTTAATACGGAAACGTGTGGTTTTTAGAAAAAAAAAGAATGACTGTCCAGTGTCCACCCTTGAACCTGTTAGCGAGGCACAAACAGATCATATGATTTCACACAAATTATCCACTAATTTGCCAAATTTGTAGTGAGACCTGCCATTAGTGTGCTAAAATATATTGTTTTGTGTTCCAAAGAAGTAAGTAAGTCATACAGGTTTAGAATGACACGAGCGCGAGTAAATGACAGATTTTAAATTTTATGTGAACTGTCCCTTTAAACATCTTGTTAAAGTGTAGAATAATAAGTGAAACGAGCCTTTCTGCTAATACTCCGATGGGAAACGGCCCCAGGGTTTGACTGAACAGACATTCCAACCCTTATCGTTCATTCCTGATTTGATGAACTTTCATCTGCATGACTTTATCTGAGGAACACCGACACATTTTTACTCAATCAAGCATCGTCAACAAATTCCACACCATCTGACTTGCGCACTCGCTGATATTCTTGTGCATCTTCCGTGCTACAATCATGTCTTGCCTGAAGAAATAACAATCCGATTCAACTGATATTACATTGTCAAGGGGGCTTAAAAATTATGCCCCTGAATGCAAGAAGGCAACACATCACTGAAGGGGTTCCAGCTAGGAGCCACAGATTAATCTATTACACATGTGACAGTTGAGCAGTAAAACAAATATACACCTTCATCACGCACACAAACATCAATCTGGAACATTTCAAATAATGTGGACTGTGCCAGATAAAGTCTAGGCGGGGGAATTTACTCAAGTTAGATAAAGAGCAATCTTAAAATAAGTTAATCATGAGTACTGACAGTTCAGAATATCAGCCAGGCCAATTTATTAAAAAAAATAGTAATTATGAAATCTGCATTTGCCAATAACTGTTACACTTATTGTTAAATATATACACTTCTGATTAAAAGAAGTGTAGGCTATGTTATGCAATTGAATGATAGCAGCATTATTTCAGACAATACTAACTCAAAATCACTCAAATAAATACTTTAAATATTAAATATGTAAATATATATTTTGACCGATTAATGCCTAACAATTTGCAATTGGTTCCTATGACAAAACACAAACATCTGGGGTTTTAAACCCCAGGGGTCTGACAGGGTTATATCTCACTCAATTTGCTGTAAATTCAGCAGATATATAAGATAAATGAATATAACAGATTCACACTGTTATGTAAACTTCAGTATGTATTTAGCTACCCAAGTCATAAACTGAACTACCGTGCAATAGGTCAGGGTCGGACCTCTACCAGGTCCCCAGCCTGGTCAATACCAGCTGTTTTTGGAACATCACCAACTAGAGGCTTATTCGAACGAAATCTTATATTCCTAAACAAACTGTATATTTCACAAAATGTAATTTAGAACCAGCACTTGCGAAAAAGAAAAGTTAAAATGAGACAAAATCTATACTCAACTATACTTCCTTATGTCAAAAAAAGTGCATATTTTAATTAAGCATTTTTCTGAAATGGGTTCGTATAATGCAGTCATGTGCATTCTTTAATAGAAATACTACACATTCCATTTCCTATTCCAGTCGTTGTATTCTACTCATTAATTCTACTTCCTTAACAATAAAAAACGTAACAAAATGTATTGTTGCAAAATATAAATCAGACTGTTTTAATTGTAAAAAGGTACTGTATCTGACATCACCTGGAATTATATTATTGTGGGCATGTGAGGAATTAAATCATTTATAAATGTATGTTGGATATTCTGGATGTGTTTTTCAAACTAAATTTGGTTTAATCCATTTATTCATGCGAATGTTTGTATGATTCTTACATAATCAGAATATGACCAAACTCTGTTCTCATGAAATCAGAATATTGTTGTGTATCAGATATGAAAGCCAAACATCATTCAGACAGTCTTTCAACCATTTCCATCTGGATTTACATAAAACCCAGCAACGATTATGATGTTATTGGCGTTATCATAACCCGGATCCATCATAACGTGGATCTTAAATGTAATAAAAATTATTTTAAAAGATGTAAAACATAAAGACATTCGCCACATATACTGTCTTGACAGCTGTAAGACTGGTATCTGAGCACTGATATGTGAACATGTTCAAATGAAATATGTAATAAACTCCGGATCGATCACACAATATCACCTTTTTAGTTAAAAAAAAAATCTACATACAGCCCTCTAGTTTCCTCTATACACATTAAAATAGCCCAAAAGAATAGAGTTTTTATAGCCACAAACCAGTTTGCTTACAGGATCCCTTGGAATTAGGAAATCTAGATGAAGGAAAAGAAAAGGACTGGCGCATACATACCACAGCATGCCTCCCTCTCTCTTCTCTTTCACTCCTTTATCTGCAGCAGCAGTAACCGGCTCAGAAATTCATCAAGATGAGGAATAACAATAAAAATAGTCCAGCAGTAGTCCCATAAACATCGGCGTTCCCCTTCTTCAGCCGTCCGATCGCAGCACAATCTCTTCGTTCAATGTCTGATCGTATTCTGAAAGTTTTCAACAATCTGATTTGCGTTTCTCTTCCCAAATGCAGCACAAAAGACAAGTAAAAGCATCAAAGAAAAATCAGAATGAAACATCAGATCACTGTTTCTTGTTGGAAAGGTTGGGGGCGTTGAAGGAGAGAGAGAGAGTTTGAGAGAGGGAAAAACAGCTTTGTATCGTTGTGTCTTCCCTTGGGTTCACCACGTTGTTTTTGAGCACTTATAATTTCCTTTGTTGTGTCCAAAACATCTCGAGTTGTCCATGTTTATCACACCTTTCAGCCGTCAACACGCGGTCTGTGGAGAACAGCGCAGGTCTCCAGCGAAAAAAAGGACTTCTCGCAGCATAAAGGCGAAATTCAGTGACGGTGCGTGTGTGAATGTGTGTGTTAATGTGTTTTTTCAGCTTCCCAATAATGGCGGCCCTTCTCCCGTTCTCGGTCTCTCCTCCCTCCTCTGTAGTCTCGCGCATGGACACGATTACCGAACACACGCGCGCGCGCGCGCTCACACACACTATGATAACGCGCAGCACACACAATCTGGGTAACTTACTACTCTTGTCCAGTGCAATTATGAATGGTGTTATTATTGCTTTTTTTCTTTTTAAACAAATAATATTCTAGTCATTGACAAATTTTCTCGCTATATATAGGCCTATATAAAAGAGTACGGGGAGAGTTGTCAAAAGCAAATATACCTAAAACTTTGGATCAAATGTCTAAATACAGAAATATGTGGTTTGTCTGGTTATATGTTGGTTTATAAAAATAAATGAATAAATAAATAATTAAATAAAAGATTAAAACTGAACTTAAATTTCACTGTTGTAGCCTATACAAGAATATGTAGGCCTGAACTATGTTCCCAGGATAAGAGTGTTTTTCACCAAGTTGTCACCAAGGTAATTATTGTCGATTTGAACTACAAATACAACTTTTAAAACATTTTTGTTAATTGAAATAATGCTGAAATAAAATAAAATAAAATATAAATATTAGATGAACAACATAGAGAAAAAAATGTTGGCTTCGTAACTAACTGAAATACGTTTAAGTTTAAGTTTAACACTGCAATTAAAACTAAAACTAAAATAAATAAAAACGAATTAAAATAAAATAAATTAAATAAAAACTGTAACTGAACGAAACATTAAAACCTGAAAATAATTAAACCTAAATAGAAATATTTTTAAAAGAAAGACAACAAAATCTAATAAAAATTTTGTAAAAACTGTAATAGTAGCCTACATAAATAATGCTGAAATAACATTGTTTGTCATATGTGTTTTTACACTGTAAATAGTCATTATTATCACCATCATTATTCATATGTGAGTCCAATCAGAGAGAGTCACTTAAAAAGTTAAATAAAAGAGCTCTCATGCTTTCTGTTGTTTATAAATACAAAACTAAATGTGGTTCTAAAATGACAGAAACAGAAGCTTTTTTGGAGTTATTCATAATGGTATATTTATCATGACACAGTTCATTAGTTTTAAAAAAAAAAAACAGCAGCTTTTCACAACAAACTGTTTTTGGTGAAGTGAAGAAACTGTGAAAGGTCTCTGCTCCCACCTCTAGACTGCAGCTGAAATATTTCTAAGTCCCAAGGGCCGCCGCATTCCTCGCTCTCACAGTTGTGCAATCTCTGAACAATCAGAGCCCCAACCCCCCTCTGAATATGTGCAGAGACCCTGTCCACAATGTTCTGCAGTAGACAAACTTATATCCTTAACAAGCTGAAGCACAGAACACAAGTGTGGTGATGTAACACAGATATGATCCTCCATTTTTTAAAGATGTATCCAGAAAATATGGCAAGAAACGAGTAATGAGAAGTGAGTTCAGACTGAACTCACACTGCATGGGGCCATTGTCCAGATGCTATTGTTTTTCATGTAAGACACACACACAAAGTAAATGTTAAAAGCCAAATATTTCTTTAAAAGTAATTGCTTTTGAAAACAGAAATGCTGAAATGAAAAATATGTTGTTTTATATATTTTTAATATATATTTTTTACTGCACTATATACACTAAAAATATCTCAATCTATCTGTCAGTCTATCTATCTATCTATCTATCTATCTATCTATCTATCTATCTATCTATCTATCTATCTATCTATCTATCTATCTATGTTTACTAAATATATCAATGTGGTCTGATGAACGATATCTTCATGAATGTTCATTTGGAACATTTTCTTTAATCTCACATGAACAAATCTTATAGTCTATTATCTCTATCAAAAATTAGTATTTATAATGAGTACTTATTCCAGAATATTTGGCTAAGGTCAAGAATATGGGAAAGTCCTGTGGGGGTCCATTAATAGCCTAGATGTATAAAAACATATAGCATTAAAAATAATAACAATGAAAAAAACAGAAATGTTTGAAATATGTCAAATGTCAAAATGTGTGTAGTCCACATTAATAGGTAGCCTACACACTTTTTTAAAAGAAAATGTCTAGCTATTTATATTGGGTTCCCCTGGTTCTGTAAAGTTTGAACCACCCTCGATTAATGTTCATAAAAGCTATCATTTACATTATGTCACGCTATTATTATTCACATGCGCCCTAGGCTCTATTTAGTAACTAATCCCAACGCAAAAGTCCTATCAAACATCTTAAATTGTTTAATTTTAGTCATGTGCCATCATCGAGAGTTCAACCCCGGTGTACGAGTGTAATTGTAGTATAACAAGCACATTCTCTTGGCATCGATGTATGTTTACAGCCAACAGACAGAACTACATTACCCATCATTCCTAGCACCAACGGCCCTCTGCTCGCATCCTGTCCGGTGAAGATAGCGGGCGGCTACAGAACATAACCCAGACTGAAGCTGCTTTATCTCGTAATTAAATCAATTAAACATTGATTAAAATTACTTAGGTCACCGTGAACGATAAATACAGAGCACAATGGTAAGTGCAGATGCCTATTTTTGCTTGTTCAAATCATTATTTTGAGTAGTTTGACTGTCTGTTCTTCTCGGCTAACATGCTAGTATATATTCCGATTATAACAACACGACCAAGGTCATAAATCATATTATATAGACATAATATATGGACTATAATATCCAAGAGACAAAAATAACCAGTCTTTCATTACTCTAATCAGAGCCAGAATAGAAATAACGCCGAATGAATGAAGCTAAATGCTCATGCCTAGTTATTTGATGCAAACTCTGTATAACCTGTCTATTATATGTCATCTCATATACCTTTAAATAATATAACGCATAATACGTTTATAATGGTGACTCATGCATCTTAAGCTATTAAAATTCTTAAATGCATGGTCATTATGCCTACAAACATACGAACAAGCATTAGATGTCAGATTCATGACTCATTCAGTTTTATTGAATGATATTGGATGATTTGTGAGAATTAGGTCTAAACGTTTCTCCTGTTCTTCTTCTGCAGATCCGCTTTATCCTCATCCAGAATCGAGCAGGGAAGACCAGGCTGGCCAAGTGGTACATGCAGTTCGATGATGATGAGAAGCAGAAGCTGATTGAAGAGGTTCACGCCGTAGTGACAGTCCGTGATGCCAAACACACCAACTTTGTAGAGGTACAATACTTACTTTTAACGTTTTTTTTACACTAGCTGTGGTTCAGAGATGAGTTACTGACCATTACATTTAGATAATGTGTGTAATGTTGCATAAGGAACTGTGTGATCTGATCCAGGGGTTTTCAGAATGACTTTGAGACAATATTTACTGTGAAAAGATCTGTTAAAAATACATTTTAAGTAAAATGTTTCTCTTCAGGTAGAAAGAATTTCTTTAATTTTGGATTTGGGTAAAATGACAGTATAAAAGCCAATTATTTGATTTAGCAAATAACATGTCTTTATGATATCATGCTTACTAGGTTTGTTACATTTCTATATTATATAGTTGCCTTAATGCTTTAGAAAGGAAGTTCCTCACAAGGGGATCATATTTTTTAGGGGCATCAATGTTGAAAATGTTGAAATCATTATTAGTCAAAATGTGTTTATATATTATTGGCCTTAGTAATACATTGTTTTCCTCCGCAGTTCAGAAACTTCAAGATCATTTACAGGCGGTACGCCGGCCTGTACTTCTGCATCTGTGTGGATGTGACAGACAATAACCTGGCTTACCTGGAAGCTATTCACAACTTTGTTGAGGTAAATCTTACTGAAGCTAATTTTAATGTCTGTAAATAAACTTGTATATAGTAGTGGTGGCCAAACGTGATGCCCGGCCTAGAAAAATTTGCATCTTGACTCTTAATTTAAACATTATTAAAAATGTGTTAAAGATTTTGTAAGCATATAGCGTAGTTGTGCTTAGAGTCAATTGTTTTATTTTTGATAATGCAATGAAACATGCCAAATTGTGCGGACATCATTTTTGGCCAGGCTGTCATGCAAAGACATTATGAACAACAAGAGAAAACCAACGAAATATTAATAACTGTCAATGTATGCTTTTTCCTGTGAGCTTTTTGGTTTTCTATGCATTTTTTGGCATAGTAAAATAAAACCTGTAGCTGTTGTTTGCCTTTTTTTGCCAAACAATTTTGTCGGATAAACACCAAGTTTTGTTTTTCCCTAATATTTAAAATGTTTAAAAAATATAAAATATTTTCCTCATATTTTGTTGGTTTAATCCAACTTGTAGGTTCATTAAAGACAAATATCCCCATTTTTTTGGCCTCTTCTGTATATAATGATCCTTTTCCTCTCCCACTAAATAAAATATAACATTTTAAATAAATAAGTGTTCAATTGAGCATCTAAATGGTATAATCAGCAGCACATTTCCTTAGCATTAAATTCATTATGCTGCACAGGATTCATAATTCATGACCCTTAAGAAATATTTAGGTCAAGGTGTTACAGCTATAAAAAAAATTATTGCTGTTTATGTATGTATATGCTTTGAAACGGCTTTACGGGTAATTTACCCCTAAATCAGAAGAACCATAATTTTGACTAAACAGCCACAGTGCTCAAACGGATTCGAAATGGTTAATGCAAGCAGAAAAATTAATAAAAAATTGAGTTAAAACTAATCAAGCATGTTTGTTTTCCCCACAGTTTTTTTACTAATTGGAAACCAGGTACAATCATTTTATGTGCCCAAATACATCATAAACACAGAAGTGGTATTATTTTACAAAAATTTCATAGCATTTAAAATGCTAGTGATGACACACATCATGGTTTGAGTTTGGTAGTTTTTGCAGTTGATATTTATATCAGAAAAAAATCTCAACACTCACAAATAAGTGGGCATGAAACTGAACGGTTTGCAGATATTTAGGAAACATGCTAAGTTCACATACTTGTTTCTCTGAAAAACAATGCTATACAGCCAGTTGTTCTACTTTGAAATGTGCATTCTGTGTCGATCCTGTAACTTTAAAAAGCACATTAAAAACATTGGTATTATGTAATTTTATATATTCAACAAAATGATATTCAATATATTGTACGTCTATCTGTTAACCTCTACCGTAAACATTTCCAATCTAAATACAATTTAATGTAACACACGTATAATTAGACTAAACACAAACAAGCTTTAGCGAGACCTCTCACCAGGTAAATAAAGGAGCACTGGAGCAGCACTTCTGTGGGTGTAATTTTCCATGTGTGAGAGACAAATGGAATGTGTCCGTGAGGGAAACCAGCGGCCAGGGGTTCAAGAACATTGTGACATGGAATTCTAGGACTTCCTCTGACCCTCACTGTAAACAACTCCCCCAACATATCCCCACATCACTTCTGCCCAAACCAGCCCACTTTGCTGAATAACACAGGATTAAGAACAAACAAACGCCTGGGTCACCAACCTAAAACACTCAACAGCTACTCAGCCTTGGTTTTTCTGCTACTTATTGAGGTGAACGAGAGACTGCTGTGGTTAAGCGATTATCTGAAATCAACCTAAACCAACACATTCAAACACCCCTCCCTTCATTGCTCCGCCCCCCAAAAAAAACACACAATGCAAGAGAGGATGTCTCTATATTATAGCTGAAGTAAAGCAAAATAATGCTTTGCAAAAAATAAAGCAAAGATGGCGAATGAACGACAAGGAGGAACAAGAAATGAACATGAGTTGTATATACAAGCACGAGTTGGTTGTTAGTCGTCAGCAGCTCCAGTCAAACAATGATCCCCTCAAAACTGTCCTGTTACTACAGCTAACATTACAACAACAGCATATCTTGGTTCTGTGAAACTGCAAAACCAATGTTACTCATGTATGGAGAAGAAACAACTCGACTGTGCGTCCGTTTTCAGGTCTTACAGCTTCAGTCTCTCCAGCGCTAGAAAACTTTTCTAATATAAACGTGTGTCCTAAAGCTCTTGCCTGATCATAACTCTTCTTTTCCCAGTGATATTCCTCTGGCCTTTTCTCTTTTGTAATGTCTCTCTGCCATCTCTCTTTCTACAGTCTTTCTTCAAATCTCTCTCTCTCTCTCTTTCCTCCCCCATCATGAGTGGACACGCCCCCCTACTGCTGATTGGCTACAAGTGTGTTGTGCTGGCTAGTCCCATCGACTTTCAACAGCGTTTCTCAGAAATCGCTTACTGTATCCTGAGTAGATTCTGGATTGGAACTGATCTGTATTTCTCTTCGTCCACAGGTTTTGAATGAGTATTTCCACAATGTGTGTGAATTAGACCTGGTCTTCAATTTCTACAAGGTAAGTGTAGGATTAACCTAATATTCCAATACTACACTAATACAGCTAAAAATGAAAAATATAAAAATTTTAAACAATGCATCTTAAATACATAGTTATATGTTATTATTCACTACTGTTCAAAAGTTTGCTTTTTTAAATGTTTTTGAAAGTCTCTAATTCTCACCAAAGCTGCATTTATTTGAGCAAAAATAGAAATAATGTGAAATATTATTACAATTTAAAAGAAATGTTTGCTATTTCAGTATATTTTAAAATGTAATTTATTCCTGTGATGTTAAAGCTGAATTGTCAACATCATTACTCCAGTCTTCAGTGTCCCATGGTCCTTCAGGAATCATTCTTCTATGCTAATTTGCCACTCAAGAAATATTTATTATTATTATCAATGTTAAGAACAGTTGTGCTGCTGCTTAATTTTCTGAATCGATTTTTTTGATGAATAGAAAGTTCAAAAGGACCGCATTATTTGAAATAGAAATCTTTTGTAACATTATAAATGTCTTAGTCACTTTTGATCAATCGAATGCATCCTTGGTGAATAAAAGTATTAATTTATTTCAAAACCATTTGACTGACATGATGCAGCATGACTTGCCTTAACAAATCAGAGGCCTTATTGTTAAGGTAAACGCTTGGTTACATCTATCCATGGAGTGTTTCTTTAAGAGGACCATTTAGAGAAGCTTCACTGGCAGAAAAACAGCCCAAGCAGGAAAAAAACTAGTGTGAGGAAAATATGTAATTAGCTCTCCGTTTCAGCAGCAATGCAGCTCCATGGCAACAGTTATTTAATGCATAATTACAAGTGTCATACAATTAAGAACATCCACATCCATTCAGCACCAGTAGAAGTAATTATAAAAAAAAAGTTGCCTTGGATAATTGCATTTGATTTCTGCTGAGCTAATTATCTGATGTATTTTTAATTCCACCTACTGCGTGAACGGTTTGACCCACACTAAAGGCACGCTCATGAATTTTTTTTAACCCTGTAAAGCCTGACATATGAAATAATAATTAGAAATATCAGGAATGGAACAATATGACTCAATTTTATGGCTCATATAGTATAATATAGGAGAATATGGAGCCTCAATTTTATTCAGAGGCCCAAACTGAGCAAGAATATGCAATAAGCAGCAAGAATATGCAGTAAGATGAAATTCTGAATATGATTTGCTTGTAATGTAAATCAATGAGATCTTGTAGCATTTAAAATTACTTGCATAAAATGCATCTAAATTACAGCTGTCACTCTTTATCTCCCAATAATTTGTCTTAGGGTACGTTTACACAACAATGATGCACTAAGAATGGAAGTTTCGCGTACAGATGACAACGTTGTCAAAACGATCCCGATTACACAGATCCGTGAAAATGACTAAACTTTTGTATTCTGCTGCCAGGCCAGTAGTTGTTAGCCTGACTTCGTCATACTCATATTCTAGTCAGAATGTGAGTCTGATACTGCTCCATAGGGCTTTGATTATGATGCGTGTCTTAACCGAACCAGGAAAAAAAAAACTCTGCACTCAATTGGATAGACCTACAACCAATCAGAGCAAAGCAGTAAGCTATGCAAATTGTCAACAGAACTCAACTGCACGCACGCTGGAAGTAGTAGTAAAATAATGAGTGTTGCTTCTTTTACTTGCTCCTCCATGAGTGCGAGTGTGCATCCAAAGGAGAAACCACAACGACCACAGGGTTTTCATTGCGTCCCATCTTCTTAGTGACCATCGGAGCCAGCTGATAAAATAAACTTTTGCTGAATCCCGTAGGAAGGACGGCAAACACATCTTTCCGATCGACAAATGCCTTGATTGCAGTTCTATGTTCGTTTTTTAAAATGAATGCGCTGTCGATTTCTTTTACAACAGACGCGATAGCGGGATCTCTACATCTCAATTCTCCAGCTGCAGTCATCTCTGAGGGAAACCAGTTCAACCCAAGCGCTCTTTGATAACGTGATGATTACGTACCTGCAGATCATCTGTCCATCATCGTATAAAGCCCGCCCAGGCAATTTGATTGGCCCGACTAATTTTGAACCGATCATAATTACTCCTCAATGAATCGAGTCCAGACCGAACTTCCCGACCAAATAATGTTGTGGGCGGGGTTCAGGCTGGCATCCAGGCTAAGTAGTTGGTGATGTCACTTTGTAATTAAACACTTTGCGCTTGCACACTTATGCATTCTTCTACAGTGCTGTAACTTCAGTCCTGTAGTCCGCCATTGTTGTTTTGGTTATCAAGTACTCGCACATGCCTATATAGACTGAACACGTAATGCGATAACTTCAATTCAATTCAATTCAATTCAAATTTATTTGTATAGCGCTTTTCACAATACATATTGTTTCAAAGCAGCTTTACAGAAAGTGCATTTCAGAAATGTACATAGAATAATATAGTTAGTTAATCATCATGTATTAATTTAGGGCATAACATATCGCCGGCGTTGAGTCGTCTCTTCACAGGCGTCGAGTCGTCTCATCGCAGGTGTTGGGGCATCTGAAGTCTCCGTGAGAGTCTGGATAACGGTATCATTTTCAAAAACTTGCATTTTGAAACCCGTTTCCAAAAGTTTCAGGCCCACAAAACGCCATTGTTGTGTAATATAATGGCCAAAACACATAAAAGGTTTTCTGTTTTTGATGATTTTCATAATCAAAGCTCTGTAGATTTTTTTGGAGAGGCAAAACATATCATGCAATGCAATACAATAATGATTGAGAGATAAATAAACGTTCCTCAAAAGCCTGATGGATCATATTTGATACTCGCATTTGAACAATTTTACTAAAAATGAATTGTGGATACCGGAAAAGTGTTCATCTTGAAATATTCCTATCCTAACAATATAAAAGTTATTCTTACATGTACCTAATAAAAATCAGCAAAGGTTTCAGAGCAAAAAGATACATTGACCTAGCCTGGTTAAAACCAGACCATTCTCAGTTGTAACTGAGTTATGGTCTGGCAAAGCGTCATAGACAAATCATTTCCAGAGGGGCGTCACCAACGGACGTCGCGGATAGACCTAAAACCAATCAGAGCGATGAAGGAGATGACGTATGCAGAGCGGCGGAGAACTCCGAGTGTTGTCCTTTGCTCGGTTTTTAACAAAAAGGAAACGTTCAAATCGCTTAAAACAGACGCGATAGCTGATTCGAACGAGTGATGTTCGACGGCGGCATCCATCTTTGTAATGTAGGCTACAAAATCTGCTTCAAAATCCCAGCGCTGACGTCATCGTGTAAAGCCCGCCCCAACGTTTCTGATTGGTGCCGCGATTTCGGCGGATTGGAAATGAGCTTGAATGAGCTCTTTGCCAGACTAACTTTCAGAGCAAATCTAAATTTTCCGGAAGTTGTCTGGGTTTTCCCAGGCTAACATTGACCACAACCTGAAGGGGGACGTTATTAGAATTAGAATAGTAAAAATAATTTTACTTGTTAAAGTATCAATCAGACAACAGAAGGCGTATAGTAGATTGTGTACAACAGGTTTTTCAGCAAAGTTTTGATCATGTTGATCATTTCGAGGCCTAATGTCTGCTACAGATTTCAGCAATCCTATAAGATCATTAAATCACACTGTACGACATGGATCTAATACATTTGGGTATGACATGTATGTAGACTGTACGACGATGACACCTATTGAATCGTGTTGACCAATACGACATTTCATGACGCATTTTTATTGGTGTAGCAGGAAACACACTGTGAGATGATCATGCTAAATTTCTGACACTGTCTTTGGTCGCAACACTGTGACAACGGTCGTCTTTTCACTGTACAACAGAAATCGCCACGATTGGTCATCTTTCGTCTGGGACAGCCCAAAATCGTACAATGTGTGACCGGGCATTAGGAGGGTTAGGGTTACTTTTTTTTTTTGAATGACTAAATGTTGCTGTTGTGTTTCAGGTCTATACGGTGGTGGACGAGATGTTTCTGGCAGGAGAGATCCGAGAGACCAGCCAGACGAAGGTGCTGAAGCAGCTGCTCATGCTGCAGTCTCTGGAGTAAAGACCTCGCTCATCGCCAAGCCATGTTATCTGTCTCACTCAAATCTTTTCTTCAAATCTCACATCCCCCATGAAGGATGTGGCCATTCTGTTCTATAACTTTTAAAGCAGCTATGCATTTGTAAAACCTCCCTGGTTATTGACCTAATTATTCTTTGGCATAGTCAGAATTGAATACTTCAGCCATTTTTACAGCACAGTAGATCTCAGTGTGTCCGACTGGCAACCTCTCCAAGCCCGTTCATTAACACTAACACACATAATCATGTTGGCCAAAAACTGCCGTGGCACGGAAGCGTCGCTTCTATAATTGCAAGAAGATCCATGGGCTGCACTACTAGCAATGATAAAACTAGATTTTATCAAACAAACCCTCTCCAAACATTAATGAAATGTCCTGTGTATCAAGTCAAAATCTGTGAAGGTTGTTTGTATTGTGTACATATACATTATATATGCATCTATTTTAAGTGTAATTGTATGAACTAACCCATCATTCCAGGCATCTTAAGTCTCAGTCGCCGCTCTTTGTAATTGCGTTGAAGTCTTTTGGTTTTGTGGGAACCCGAGCCAGCGATTAGCGAACAAGGCTGAGTGGAAGAATGGAACTCTGGGGGAAATGACAAAAGATGGTCTACTTTTAATTTCCCCTTTTGTGGCGCTGGTTCCCTCTCGCCAAGAGCTCTATGGCAACTGCTCAGCCTTGAAACGTCCCATTACAGTCGGAGAATCGTCTTTATTTTGTACCTGTGTTTTATATTGTGTTTCTTTGATTGTCCCTTCTGCTTTAGTCCAAAGTATTCTAGATCTGCCGATTTGTCCCTGTGAGATTGCAGAGTGAAAAGCTGATAGTTGGTGTTACTCTCACGTGTGTGTTTCTGTCAGTGTAAATATCCATGAAGGTGAAATAAAGCAACTTATATGACTTCAAATGTGTGTATTACATATAGTGAGTTTGTGTTGAAGGCTGATCAGACCTTTTTTTGCATGTACTATACTGCCATCTATCGGATACTGACGATTAAGCAAATATTTGACGAGGTCATCGCTCATCACAGATAACAGAAATGGTGCATTTCTGCCTCAAGCGAACTGGCGTTCAGTTCTTGCATGAATATGTGCAGGTAATATAAATATAATACAATAAATGATAAAGTTAGCACAGTTATGAGCATTGGTCACTACTTAGTCGAGGGCTACGGATTACCGCGTGCTCACACCTGCGTATGTTGGTAAAAAAAAAGTGAGCTTGACGTGTCCAATCCTTCCGGTTGAGATGAAGGGCAGACAGCAAAAGAGCGGGATTACGTTTGCAACTTCACTGGTAACACTTTACAATAAGGTCCCATTAGTTAACGCATTAGCTAACAATGACCAATGCATTTGTTATTATCCATTACTTAACGTTAGTTAATAAAAGTACAACTGTTTAATGTTATTAGTTCATGTTGGCTCAGGTCCATTAAATACTCGGCCTTTTTAACAGATACAAATTTTGATTTTACGATTAATAAATGCTTTAGAAGTATTGTGCCGTTTTAGTTCATGTTTAGGCTACTAATGTTGTTAACTCATGTTGACAAATGGAAGCATTTTGTGTAACCAAATTTAGTTCCAATGAGATTGAACCCTAGAATATAAATTAAATTATGTAGATGATTTTATATAATTTATAAATATAATATATACTATAATTATAAAAGAAGTAATAATGATTATTTTAATTTATATGCAATAATTTTTTGTTAAAATAATGCATTTTGAATTATTAAATTATTTGCTTATTCCTTATTTTATCTTTTTTTTTTTAAAATGTCTCCATAAAATACAGTGTTTAATTTAGTTTTGTGTGATTTCTATAATGGATTATTTGTACACAAGATCATGTGAAGTAACTGTAGCCACATTATTTAATCATTTCCATTCAAGAGAAAATGAATGCACCTTAGAATGGGAGAACTGTAAAATGAATACGTAATTGTCAAATTAATAATGGTAACATTTTAAAAAAAAACAAGATAAATCAAGAATATAATCAAATAATAATTACGAGACAATTGTTTATTTTATCTACTGATTTGTAATGTACAACAAATCAAAAATCAAATTTAAAAATGATAGAAATAATTCACTAATAAACATACTAATTTATTACATTTAAATATTGGGGGATTTTTTTTTCAGCTTACTCTTAAGTTTGATCAAAACTAGATTGTGGACCAGATGTTTACTAGTCTTTAATGCTCTAAACCAGATTCTGTTGTTGAACTGCTGGAATATGCAACACTCTGAGAAAAAAAGTCTTGTGGAGAATGTGGAATTTCTCTCTTTTTTTAAAGAACCTTTTAGGCCAAAAAAGGTTCTTTATAAGGATAAATGTTTAAAATGATTGCATAAAGTTGAATGGGTTATTTCAGATTTTACTTTAGTGATAAAGTATTTTTACTAGCTGCTTAATTCATAACATTTTTATTAAAATGAAACAGAAATGAATTAAAATTAAATTGAAAACTAAGTCCATAAAATGGTGATGGGATTGGGAATCCCTAAAATGTTCTATATACTGCATGAAGCACCTGAAATAAACCTACTGTCGATATATAACCTTTTCTTCTAAGAGTGCATTCTATTGGCAATTTATATTTGGATTGGTGGTAAATTCGTATGTTATTTGTACGATCTTACAAGTTACTGACTGTTAGATTAGTGGTGGTGCGAATCGCATTGTATGAATTCAAACGAAATCACCTCATAAAATGATTACATTTTCTTACAAGATCAGATTGGAAGTATTTTATTTCCCTATGAATGTCACTTTTTATGCATCTGTCACCTTTGAAATAGAGATAATTTGAACTAACAACTTTCCTCATTGTCACACACTCCCACACAAAACAGAGACAATAGAAAAAAAACTTACACAACATAAAAAAACAAGCTAACTTTAATTATAATCTTAATCTTTAAAACCAACAAGCACCCCTCCCCCCAAACACTCCGATAGACAAATTCAAATCTTATTTACAGCATACATGATCCAGATATACAGTATTTATGAATGAACAAATCACACAAGTTTCTAAGCAACAACTGGTTATATGCAGTACTTTGAGCTACTATTCAAATGCACTCCATAATGATATTTGGTTACGAAATGCAACCAAATTTCAATACATAAGCCATCGAAAATCACCTGGCTCAGACAGTGAAGTTGCATCACATTAGTGAAATTTTGGCGAAATTTTGTGGGCAAAAAATAAATAAAAACTATTAGTGTAGCATGTATGAAGCACAGCTCTTGACACTAGTTTTAAACCAAACAGCTTTCTGTTGGTCAACATGCCGAATTCACATGATCGACTTGAACCCATTGTCAAATTGACCAAAAAAATCGTGTGGATTCCTATTGAAATGACTGGATTTTGCTTGCAAAAAATGTGCTGAACATTAGTAAACACGACCACACCTTAGCGATCACATTTGCATATGCTTGACAAATTTTCTCTGTGCAAATTCCTATTAAAATGATTGAATTTTGCCAGTCTGGAATTTTGTGTGAGGGCGAAAAGGTCTGCCACGCTACGGAAGCTTGTTTCCGCCATGACACAATTTAAAAGATAATTCCAACAAATTTGTCATTTGACTTTTTTCCTTGCAATTTTGACTTCTTTTCTCAGGACTGTGAGATATAAACTTGTAATTACGTGGAAAAAAGTCAGAATTGCACGTTTATATCTCGCAATTTTGACTATATAACTCGCGATTACAAGTTTATAAATCACGACATTTTGAGAGAAAAAGTCCGAATTACGAGATGTGAAAAAAAAAGGTAAAAATTGTGAGATAAAAAGTCGCAATTACCTTTTTTATTTTTGATTCAATGGCGGAAACAAGCTTCCATACCGCGCAGATTTTGATCGTTCAATTTGGTAAAAAAAAAAAGAGACACAATGACCAACAGAGAGCTGCTTAAAGGTACGGTCACATTAGCAAAATTTTGCAGTTAAAAATGTACGTGATCGATTTGAAAACGTTGCAAAATTTTAAACAGTGTAGCGACTTTTGAAGCACAGCTCACACAGAAGTCGCTTTCAAAACAATTCAGAAAGCTTGAACACGAGCGAAATCTGCACGAGGAACCTTTCCACCCCTTCATGAAACTCCAGATCAGATTTTGCCCGCGAAATTTCAGAGTTATCGTGATCGCCTCTTCTTAACACCATGTACTACATTTCAATGGGACCATACAAAGCATGCGAATTTCAAGGAAACAGTTTGGTACTCCCTAATATCGGCACCATATTAAAATGAATATTCCAGGTTAAATAAATTGAGTGGACAGCATCAAATACTGTGTTCTGTGTTGATTATCAGAAAATTATTTAGACGGGAAAAAAAATAGACTTCCATTGTAGGTGCATAACCTTCCACTTTTTACAAACCGAATCGAAGTACATTCCTGTAACTCTTAACTTGTATCTGTGAATATTCCTTTAATTTGAGTCAATTTTGTTGGATATAAGTGGTTTTAAATCAGACAAAACCTTTGGTAAAATTGGGGAAAGAATGGACGTAACAGAATAAGTGCATTTTAAAGAGCTTGGACAATTATGAGAGCGAGACGGCCATGACCAAATGTGAATCGTGTAGAACAATCATGTGGTTAGTCAGTTAAGGCTGTGTTTGTACTAAGAGATATGATGACCCACTCCACATTTACAACTAAAAGCATGTTCTTGTCCACAGCTGATGACTCCTTGCCGCTGAAATGGGGTCGTACTAGTCTCAGTTGTTCTTTAGTAAGGAATGATCACTCCTCAAAGAATATTCTCTCATTTAATATCATTAAATTACTATAAATTTTACAATTCTATAGGTACAGTATATAAACAGTCAAAAAAAGTGCACTTGCAGAGGGAAAAAGAAAGAAAGAAAAAAAACACATCACATAGACAGTTCTTAAAACACAGATCAAAACAGGTCTGTCTGTGGTGCATAATGATGATGTCACTGAGGGAACGGGGCACCGTGCCGGTCATCACCTCTAGATCTCCCTGTCATGGGTAACCAGGGCAAACAGCGAACCCAAAATATGTGCACTAGTTCAAGTGTAAGATTAATTATGTCGCAGCTGCACTGAAATAGTCTTCCGTTCTAATAATATACCTTGTTTCACTTATTACACGACTCGAACGCAACAGTGAAAGGGATGAATCTCACAAAGAAGTGCCTGGGAGCGGTTTCATTCGAAAAATCACATGAAATAAGATGTTGCTATTATGATTTTTGTTTTTATGCACTGTAACATTTATATCTGAAAATTAAGCATTAAAAATCATATTCACGTTACTATAATCAAGCAATAAAAATCTTTTTTCAGGTTTAAAATCAGCATAATTTATTTTAGAATTTAATAATATATTTTTTCACATTATAGTAAGGAAACAAAATGTGCTTAATTGACACGCAAAAAAAAAAAGAAGTCAAAATGCCCCAAATCTTAATTGTCCTAAAGTAACCTTAGGTAACCATTTCTAATTGATTTCTTTTTGCTTCAGGGTGAAATATGACATACACGTTCTTTGGGAGATTCAACCATTACAGACCCCAAAATTTTCATTTTCATGATTGATATTTGTACGCAATTTTTGGACAAAGCCTGATTGAGTCGTAGTACTACATTTTAATAAACGATTTAGCCATTAGCGGCCCCTGCAAATGACGGGTGAGGTTGAGTCAGACGATAACCTCCGACCCAAGCCAGAGCGGGTTGGCGGTAAACATCTGATATGCGCCAGATAGTGTTGAGCGAATTACAAGATCTGAACAGATGTTTCACCTTCTTTGAGCTTTCAGAAGCTCTTTAAATGCATGGCCAATGCAACAGGGTAAATATCTGAGTGCGTAAAGGGTTTTATGAGCTTTACTTTCTCACAGAAGACCAATTTTTGGCTCTAAATTATTATAGAAATCTTCATTATTATTATTTTTCCAGTTAAAAATACAGACTAACATGCATGGAGCAAACATATGGTCATTTTTCATTTTTGGGAACATGGAAACTAAACCAAAAAGGGGACATTCAATTGAACCAATCCAACAAAGGTCTGATATGTCACAATGTATAAAATGATTCAGCGATATCTAGTTTAAGACCTAGGGATGTTACTTCTGTTGTTGATTGGTTTATCCCAGTCTAGTGAAGTCTAGATGATGGCTGTTTGACCTCACAAGAAGGAAGTGTGTGTGTAAGAACACACACACACGCAACAGTGGGATTCACCTCTACTGCCCGTGGCCCTCGCTAGGCAGCCAGGGAGATCTGTCCTAGGTGAACAGCTTTCTGAGGTCAGAGGTCAAAGGTTGCAGATGGACTTCATAACAAATGATCCAGATGTGTCTGGGTGTGGAAGGGTCACATTTGGGGGTGGGGGCGTACAAACCCAGAGACACCCGGAGCTGAAAGGAGGAGTCAATCAACGTTTAAAAACAGTACAATCCATTCCACACTGATTTTTACATTTGAACAGAACTTAAGCTCTATTGATGTATGGTCAATTACCCCAGACTATCATTTGAATTAGCGGTAATTTGAATTACTCTTTTTTTGATTAAATAAATGCAGCCTTGCCAAGCGCAAAAACGTGAAAAAAAATCGTACTAACCACAAACATTTGAACGGTAGTGTATTACATACATATAACGTTTGTAGTATTATAATATATACGGCAGTTATATTCTATTATAGTCCTTTTTAACTGTAGGTCAGCTGTCTAAGGTAGATGATCTTGATGAACATATATGTTTACATCTTGAAAGAATAATTTCATAAGAGTGTGTGTTTTAACATTTATCCTGGTGTAATGTATTGCTCTATAGACTTCCATTGTAAGTGCATTGCTGTACATATGATTACTGATTGTCAGAACATGTCAAAAATTTTTTTTTGCCAATCCCAGAAGCCCTGAACTGACCTGAGGGGGGAGGTTGTGTGTGTATGGTCTGATGACAAGTATCGGTCAGGGTGTCCAGGCCCCTAACAGTTACACTGCTGCTTGGTCTGTGCGGCAGAGCCCCGGGGCTGTCTGAGCTGCCGCAGGGACGCGTCACCGTACTGGATCCCAGAACCCATCCGCTCCGGGTCCAACTCGCCTGTACGGGCACAAACACAACATTTAACCCTATAAAGCCTACTGTACACATTTCTAAGGCTTCCCAAATATAAACAAGACCCAAAACACTAGTACATGCCTTCTGTTGGTCAGCCTGTCTGTTTAAATGGTGCTATATAAATAAATTTTGACTTGACTTCTGTCATCTGATTCATAAAAACTAGTTTTGAGGCCTTTAAGTATAATTCTAAGGTGCCATTCACATATAGCGCCTAAAAAAACGCGTCGCGCCGCGTTCTCCGTTTTCCAAAGCGCTAGGGCGGTTGCGCTCCGGTTGGTTCTTGTCACGTGACCTACGGTGCGCTTGCGGCATTCTGAAAAGGTGAGATGTTTTTATCTCGACCGCGTCGCTTCCATTATGAGCGCGCATACCGCGCGCCTACATTTGAAATAACGAACTTGAGCGCGCAAAAGACGCGATATGTGAGCAGGCCCTAAAGCCGCCCACCTTCAGGCCTTTTTGCTGTGTAATCTTTACTATTTTTATGAAGTAAATGTAATTTATATTTATATAAACTTTTATATTGTTAGTAATATTTCAAGATAAACACTAAGAGCACTGAAGCAACTTGGTTGATTATCTATACTGAATTTTTTTGAATAATCATGTTAAAATAGATCAAATATAATACATTAGGCCTTTGAGGAACTTTTATCTGTTCATTTTTCAGTGATCATTGTATTGTATTGGATTATGTTTTGGAATCCCTTTTTTAAAAAGGTTTTTAGGCTTGCTTGACGGGGTTTTTGACGGAAAAGAAAAAAAAAAGAGTTAATGCGAATAATTCGAGATTGAAACGCATTTGCCGTATAATTTCTGACGTAGCGAACATTAAACTTAAGCGACTAATTTGCAATTTCCGTTGATGGCGTTTTATTTACTGTTGGTTACTAGGTTACCAATACCACAATCATCTGCTCGAACAACCTGAAACACACTTAATTCACTTATTTTTTTTTTTTTTACAAACTTTAAAAGATTCACTTTTCACTTTTTGAAACCTAGCTATGATTTACATTACAATCCGAATGTACTTTTTGGTCATATAAATATCACAAACTACATCAAAATGCATATATTTGCTTAGTTTGTGTCTCTGAATAAAACTACTTCAGTTGTTGTGGTGCTGATTCACATCATTTTTTGATTGTTGTGTAGAGTGATTAGATGCTTTTTAAATAATTGCAAAAAGCTTCATTGGCCAAAAAAAAAAAAAAAAAAAAAAACTATCACAAAAACTCAAATTTCACTGTTTTTGGCCCTGGCTCAAGATGACCAGCACATGGGAATGTGAGAACAAGTACTAGTCAGGTGAAATAACTCAATCATTCTGATTGGATTATAAGTGCAGACTGATTGCTATAAAAGGAGGGAAGAAGAGCTTCCAATTATTGAGTTGTGTTAGCAATGGTTCCCTCCAAAGAAAGACGAGTAGCCATCATCGCTTTGCATCAAAATGGCTCACATGCAAGGAAATTTCTGCAAATAACCATTTACTGGATTATCAAGAACTTCCAGGAGAGAGGTTCAACTGCAGTGCACTGCACACACATGCAATTTAAAAATATATATATATTATGACTGATTATTATTTCATATGTCAGGCTTTGCAGAGTTAAACTTTATTTCTTTCACGGTGAAAGAAATAAAGCTTTACAAAAGCATTTTGTCAGTAAATGAATAGCACATTTAACTCTTACCTGACTCAATCTTGTTGAGGATGTTGCGAGCACATTTGAGAAAGGCTTCCTCTACGTTCTCCCCAGTCAAAGCACTCGTCTCCAAAAACATCAGCTCTGGGTGGAGGACACAGTCAGGTGAACACATCAAAATCAACCCTCTGATCATGCGGCAAAAGTCTTAGTGTTGTAAAGGTCCATTTGGATAGCTGTTATCAGGCTTGCTAAGCATCAGTTTCATTAAGGGTGCTTTAGTGTAAACAGCATCATCAGCAAGAACCACCTTATGGTCTTTAGACATCTCTACGGCACTCCGGTGACCAATACATAAGGGCTTGTAAATGAGCCGCTCATAAAAACCCTGCTGTTTGAACGCTCACCAACAGAGAGGAAGAGAAGCGGACTCTCTGCAGCGGCGCACATCTGTTTGGACAATTATGAATATAACAAGATCTCTCTAGACACATGACAAACAGGTGCCAGAAGCAAGTGAAAATTGATGCGGCACACTGTGAGGCACAAACAGGCAAAATATGAATACTTTCAGACCCCAGTTACAAAAGTGGTATGCATGAAGAGCAGCTCTAACCGTTCTCCTGGGCAAAACGAGACGCCTCTAGGAAGGTGACCTCACGGTCCGCATCCAGATCCTTCTTATTCCCGCACAGGATGATGACGATGTTGGGGCTGGCCAGCGTCCGTGCGTCCGTCAGCCAGTTAGTTAGAGCATTGTAGGTTTCCCGACTAGAAGACAGATAAAGACAGTGTCAAAATTATGTAGCGCATAAAGATACGCACTGTCAAAAACAGCTTTACAGAAAATCATGATGTCAACGTTAATGTAGAGTGTCTTAATATCTTCATGCCTTAGCAGATTAGAGCTGAGCGATAATATAGTTTAGATTTTGCGATGATACAAGCAATCAGGCAGTTAAGATATGCTAAATAGTATGTATTGCCCTACACTAGCATACTGTATGTATGAAGATAAAGTTGGACATACTTGGACAACATTACATAAAGCGCTGGGCAATAAATAAGTTATATTTCTGCAACAATATAAACAGATGAAATTTGCTATATAGCTTTAAGTGAGTATACTGTATGTATGCATGTAAAGTAGTATGTACTATATATATCTAACTTTTAATACATTTTTTGACAATACAACAATTCAGCAGTTGAGATTTTTTATATAGGACATACCGTTTAATGAGTGTACTGTATATATCTGGGTAATGTTTGATTTACTTGTAGTAGTTGGATGATTTATTATTAATTAATAATTTGTTACTTCATTCGAGTTATTCAGCACTGCTGTTGCAAATTCTGCTAATTTGCAACAAAGATAATGTTATTTTGCTTATAGTCAACCAATGAAAATATCACAAGTCACAAAATCTATAGTCCTGAAAGTAGAGCTGCACAATTAATCATTAAAAGATCGCAATCTCAATTCAAACACCAACACAATCTTATTCCCAAATGATAACGATTCGCCTCCGTCTATTAAATCTTTGACAAAATTACACTGGAACATTTAAATCTGCGTTAGGTGGATAGAGGAAACAGGTGGATAGTGAAAAAGTGGCCAATTTAAATCAGAATGTGAAACAAAAATTGTTCTGAGAATTAAGTGTGACTATGGCCAAATGAATCTGCAGCGGTCACTTGGTACAAGTTGAAAATTCCCAGTTTACAAGCTGTTATTACGAGTTTTTACAAGTTGGAATCTAATCTAATTAAGGTAATTACGACTTGGCGTGAACGCACTTAAGTTTGCAGTGGACTGTTGTGGGGCTGCGCTAAATGTATCCAAATGGTGGTGCTTTGCTTTCAAATCTATAGTTTTTTGCTATTTTTGCCATAATCTTTATTGCATTACCAGGCATTAAATTACTGATAACCTTTGGCAACATTTCAGAAATTAATTATTACCTATAGCAATGCTTAAATAGCTATTGATGAACATTAACCAATAGCATGTGCAGCTTAGGTGACGTCCAATGAAAAGGAAAGTGGTTTCAGAGGTACATTTTTAATAACAATTATGAACAGAAATATTTATAACCTGCACAGATAATTTGTGCAGATACCAGGAAGCATGTTGGCTTTGAGAGAATGGCCAGGTCTGTTACTAATTCAATATTTACCCTGCTTTCCACCATTTATAATCAGTCCCACAGAAACTGCCTTTGTGAGTGAATAACAGCGAACACTGATTTAACGTACTTCACTGTACTTCAACTCCGCTTCTCAGAAGTCAATGTCTGTGACGACCTTTGAGTGCTTTGAGAAACGATGAGACAAAACATGACTCATAATGCCCTCCACATTTCTTTACTGTGCGTTCGCCAAGCTTTCAGGGAATCTAGTTTTGTTTGAGTCACTGGTCTCCAGGGCAACCATTAGCCTGTGGCCACAGCGACGGGCGAAAGAGAGCGTGTTAAATCTGTGCTTGAGTGTAAAGCAGTTTAAGTGTCTACGGTCTGCAGTGATGGCAGTTCAGTGCTGAAGGATGACCCTCATCAAACACACAATCCATCACTGTGTTCATCTCTCTCTCACTGCGCTCACACTCCGTCAAATGGACTCGCCAGAAGATGACATTTTATTACAGTGCTGTCAGTGTTTATTATTACTCCATTGTCTTTGTCTCTATTACCATGACAGCTGCATAGCAACCTGGAGATGATCCAATTCTACGCCATAGTCAATCTCTCCATCTGCCTCCGTTGTATTTTTTACCAAATTCTTTTATTTTTTCCCTCGCATTTACATTTTTCTGGATACATTTTTTTTTGCCGTTTTTATGTTTTTGTTTATTTTATGTTTCAGACATTTAAATACACATATGTACCAGCAAAAAATAGTTTGTTAAATACATTTCAATTATAATTTGATAACGCGTTTCATTAATATCAGATACAAACTGTGTAGGTAACTATACATTTTACTCTATTCTTCTCCCAGTTGACCAGCCATTTACTTTCAAGTGTTTCGGGAGAAGTGGATGAATTTACATGCTGTAAATCCGACAGATCCGCAAACTAACATGGGCCCATCGCTCGTTATTAATCAGCTAACATGATCATTATAAAGGTGAAAAAGGACAAAAGAAAAAAAACACATTCACTTTCACATATTTGACAATCGGAAAAAAAACAACAGTGTTTTAAAAGTTCAACAAAAATAAAATTAGGGCCCTAAATAATAAAAAATTCCCCTCTCAAATTTCCCTTTATTTTTTCAAATTTCGTGTTTTTCATTTTACCTTTCAGGATTCCATTTCAATGGTTTAACTGATTTTAAATAGTCAAAAAGCATGTCTAGTCAATTGAATTCATAAAAGCTTAATTTATTAAATTACAGCCCTATACTTTTTTCCTCCAGACATTTTTTCTGTTTTATTTTTTCTGGATTGATGATTTAATACAAATTTGTTAAAAATTGTGGTTATCAAATGAAGGCATATAATAACACATTAACAATTTAATTAATCTTAAAAATGTAATCAAATGAAAAAATGTAACACCTTTTATTTTTTCAGCAATCAAAGTGCTGCACAACAGAGCTTTATTGTAAAATTTAAAACATGGAAATAAAAACGTGTGATTATTTTTTAGTTAAGTTAATAATTTTATTAGTACCAGTATTATTACTTTAAGAAGTACATTCTACTTTACAATAGTAAAATATTTCTGTCAGAATTTGAGTTTCTGTGTGTAGATGATATGACAATAGTTTTTCTCAAATTCTCAAATCAAGTCAAGAAAACATCACAAGCATCACGTGTGCTTGAGTATGTTAAATAAGCGGAAACCACACCATTCATTCACACTGAGACACGCAGACCATGCAGACTTAATATTCACAGACATATTCCATATTGCGATTTGAATAAGTGTTCAGCCCTACTTGAATTTATTGTAAGGATAGCCCCTTGAGATGTAACATCTCATTTTCAAGGGGGTCCTAAAAACAAACAGAATTATATAACACAAAGCACAACAACCTTACAAAACACACAACAAATATACAAAAGAAAAGAAATGCTCAACCTTGTGATTTATGTGATTCACAATACTTGTGATATGACTTGTCTTATACAGTAAATTCCATTTGTATGACTGGATTCCATGATTCTGCATCGCAGAAATCATCATAGTTCATTATCTATAGCTAAAAATCCTTTCATTCCAATACAAAATGTGTCGCTGCTTCGACGGCCTTACCTTGTGATGTCATAAACGAGAAGAGCCCCTGCTGCACCACGGTAGTAACTGCGGGTCACTGACCTGTAAGACACAAGCCTTGAATGACTTCCACCAATCAGAGTCAGCATACAGCAGTAAGGATATCCTAACAAACCAATCACAGTTAGTACCTGAAGCGCTCCTGCCCAGCCGTGTCCCAGATCTGCAGTTTGACCGTTTTTCCGCCAACGTTGACAACCCTGGAGCCAAACTCGACGCCGATGGTGTGGTTAGAGTCCTGTTTGACTGTGACAGAAGATGCTCAGTAAGAAGCAGATCTGACGGACTGCTTAAAGAGGTCATACAGTTTGGATGCCAGATTTTTTTGTGCCAGAATTAAATATTTCATGACCATCTTCTCGAAGAGAAATGCATTGTTTTCTGTCGTGCCTTCAAGACTTTAAAGTAAATGTCCTCCTTGCATGTGAAATAAGATACAGCACTTTCATGCTCTTACTCACGGGCTGTGGGTTTGCACCGCTGTCAGATCAAATATAGTTTAAGCGCCCCCATCCTTCAATAACAGCCTCTTTGAAAAGCCAGTTTTACATTGTGTTCACAAAACGATCCATGCTGAAATGAGCTGCTCTAATATAATTAGACTGAAATTATGTCATAAAAATAAATTCGACCTTGTGTATTTTTGTTGGTGTTTAGAACGGCAGGGCTCTTTAGTGGCATTTACAACTGAAATTTACGACGTTCATGACTGAAAAAAATAAACTTTTTTGTAGGGATGCACGATATATCGGGCACCATATCGGAATCAGCCGATATATGTTCATTTTTAATGTTATTGTTATTTGGCCGATACATAATGTATTATTTCCTTCAGCTGAGACACTTTAGATGCACACTGTTCACCATGATGCTTTGAATTGCTTGAAATATGATTGGAATCACTTCAAAAAAGAAAATACAGTTAAGTGCAACGTGCTGCACAAGTCTGTCATATAGGCTACATAAAATTATAATGAAAAATTGTGTGCTACAGACATGGTTTTTAATGGTGAGACTTATTTTTGTAATCAGGCTCTCAAAAATTATATAAAAATGTGGATTTAGATTTATTGACCAATATATCTGTTATCGGCTTTCAAATATAAAGAATTATCGGTTATCCGTATCGGCCAAAATGTTCATATCGGTGCATACTTGCATGCATCGATGATATCCATGATATGATACAATCAAAATAAAAACTACAACTCCCACAATGCATCTAAACAGCGCAATTGTGACACTTTACACTGCAATTGGCTGCATGATTTCTTGATTATTGGTAACATATCATATAGTTATCACCCAAATTTATATTTAAAACAATCTAATAACATTATGCAACTGTAATTGCCGTGTAAACACATTCATGCCACTTCTGAGCTACATTAAACAATCTATGTAGGCTAAATATACCTAAATGCCACTTCAGATGCAGCACTAAGATGGATTTTGTTGATACTGATTTAATCTGATTGATAACAGCCTGTGTCTTAAGACTGTGTCTTATTATTCTAATTTAATTTGTGGATTTAATAAATTGAGCAACAATGAAGAGGGATCCAAAAGTTACCATCACCACAAGTGTTGCTGGATCCCTAAAAAGATATGAGCTCTGAAACAGAGTGTTTCATTGCAAATTGAGATTTACTTAAAATAATTTCAAGTCAAATTTGATTTGATTGATGACACAAACCCTGTAGACTTCCTAAAGTCAATGAATATTGAATTTTCATATTATAACACATGCACTTGTTTCTGGCTTGGAAAACAACTTAAAGGCAGGGTCATTCATAATTCATTCAATGTCAAAGACATACTTTTCAGCCTCTTTTCTTCATTTACTCTGTAAATTAAGATTGGCATTGGAATTTTAAAGCTTACTGACATGATTTTCATTCATTGCTTAACATGCCCACGTTTCAAAAGCATGTAAAGCTACTCTGGTTTCCAAAGAATTAACATTCAAGGCCACCTTTCTCTCTGCTGAATGCTTTGCGAATTAAAGGTCATGTTTTAATTCAAGTCTTTGTGAGAGGGAGACATTAATATGGGCTTACACTTGTTCTCTATGAACTGGTGAAGGAGGCATGATTTTCCAGTCCCAGCGCTGCCAATCACCAGGAACTTAAACAGAAAATCTGAAACCAAGAGGGGGAGAAAAAGAAAGAATCAATATCACTGTTGTGTTGCACTGAGAACATGTTTAAAAGGCTGTTTTAGATGTCGTTCAGAGCGCTGGGCCATCCTGATGTCCTTAATTCAATATTTCCTTCATTATTATGTCCGTCTAATTGAGGCGTGTATTCTTCAAACAATTAAACCCATCTTGAAATGTAATGTTCATAGGTAGTGTATTGTTGGGCCAATATTTGGCTAGCTTGAGACTACCTGCATCTGATAAAAGTCATCTTAACTTTAGAAAGCAAGATTTAAAACATTAGCATTTGAAACAATTTCACTCAAAAAAAGAAAAGAAAAGTGCACTCATGTCCAGACTTCTGTTAATCAGCCAAACAGGCATACTAAACTGGCCAAATATTGGCCAATGAATTATTTTTGCTAATGTATTGGTCTAACACTTATAATAATCTCCCACCTTGATCTCTAGAAATTGGATTGGCATTGGCTACAAAAAAATAAAAAAAACATCAGTTGACCTCATAAATAATTTATAATTAGCCTATATGAGATATACCGCAATTATATTGGACATTGACAACAATATATTTCCTAGCGCTAGTCCCGCTCATTTGCAGGGTCTGCTTCATTGGAATGATCCGCACACACAAACACTGGATTTGGCACAGGTTTTATGCCTCACACTCGCATTTGGCACTCACACTCACACACCTACGGCAATTGGGCAATCCACCAAACCTGAATATCTTTGGACTGCGTGGGGGAAACCACAGCAGAACACCCGGAGGAAACCCACGCTGACACAAGGACATTCAAACTCCACACCATGCCGCCTGGAAAATGCTCTCTAGATATTGACATCGGCCATTAAACAACATACTGGTTGACCACGTCTCCAACACAATCACTTTATATCTAAAATCATTCTCATCTTACATTACATAATAGGCTTTTATAGGCTATTCATCAGTTCAATACAATGTCAATAAAATAGTGTCAACTAAATTGCAAAGAAATGCATGCAAATCCTTACTGAAGACACAATTGACATGATAGCAATAGACATAGTCACTGATTTGTTTCGAAGAGAAACACATGGACTGCAATTACCAACCAAACAAAAACACATTCTTTCCATGAGTGTTGTTGCAAGTCGCTCTCTCGCTGATGGTCTAATGATTTTGGAGTTAATTATTTAATACAATTTATCATCGTGCAAAAAAACAGAAAGCACAAGCTTTTGTGTTAGGTTATATGTTGCAGTGCCAATAATGGTAGAATTGTTTGAACGACCCAACTGGAGCCAAGATCCACCAATCAGAGAGGTCCCCAAATCTCAATAGATTTTTTGAATGGAGAATGTGCGCGGAGGGTGTGCGTGGTGCAGAAGTTCAGCGAGGTCAGAGTGGGTCACGACCGCGGCCGCAGGGTTCAGGAGCTGATCAGTGCGAGACAAGAACAGTCCTAAAAGCTCTTTGTGTTGGAAGAGGACACAGAAAGAACTATTTGCATGTGTGGGTATGACATGCACACAGCCATAACAGGATTAACAGCTGGAACAGAGGAGGGTTTCAGGAGCGGATTCAGTGTTAGAGGAGGAGGATGTATGGAAATGTCAATGAATCATAACTAAACAGCATGAATATTCTCACTGATGATGTTCTCACAAGCATGTCAGAGCGTTTTGGACAAACATCAACTGTCGACAAAAGCATCACAATAGTCATGGACATAAAAAATCATTGATTTCTACAAGAATAAGATGTCTACAGTCAACAAAACTCTGGATGCAACACATGTACATTAAAAATACGCAGCACACAAATCTGAAGCAAAATGGCCCCTTAAAAGTACATTTAACTCTTTCCCTGCCATTGACAAAATGTTTTGGCAATCCATTTCATTGTTATCACTTATTATATTTATTTATTATATCTTCAGAAAGCATTGAATCTCCTGATCAAAATAAGTCAACCATTTTCTCAGCTTTTAGTTTTTAATGAAATGTATCCACATTCAAGTGTTGATAAAAAAGAACACATGAAGCTAAAATGTCTTTTTGTTTGTTTGTTTTTTGCTCTGCTCTTTCTTTCGATACATTGCATGTTCAAATTATAAAATATTCTGGGGGCCATGAAAGTTGTGAACATTATCAAAAACACTCGCAACCATCACTGGCAACTTAAAAAAAATGGCAGGGAAAGAGTCAAAAATAAAAAGTTAATTAATATAAAATGTAATTTTTAAATGGTAGATTAGATTAATTTTAATAGATTATTTTCAGTATTGTACAGAAAAAGTATTCTATCTAATATAAGATGCTGCAGTGTAACTTCAGGCACAGTTTTCACAACATGATCCCGCAATGGCTATGTTTACACGCACAACTTTTGTTTCAATCGGATTGAGTTCAGTCCGATTGATAAATCTGAATGTAGTGTTTACATGAACGCTAAACATGTGATCGGGTTGATGTGCGCGTTTATATGTCACAAGCTTCCAATCGGAATATATTTTTTAGAGTTTCCTGCTGTTTCCACATGATAACTACTCTCCCACATTGGTTCTTTATTTGTTTTGAACAGCAGACTTAATATTTATTTGGAGACAATGAGCATATGAACGGTTGTGCCAGCCCGATCTCACGGCAATTCGTACGAATTTTACGAGGTGGCTAATTCGTACTAATTCATACGACCTCACTCGTACAAATTCGTACGATTTTTGCTAATTCGTACATATTTTACGAGTTACCAAATTCGTATGAATTTGAACGAATTACCAACCCCTGACCCCGCCCCTAAACCTACCCATCACGTGGGTTTAGACAAATCGTACAAATTCGTACGAGTGAGGTCGTATGAATTAGTACGAATTAGCCACCTTTTAATCACTCGTACGAATTCGTACGAATTAGTCGCGAGATAGCGTTGGTTGTGCCGCTCTGTTCATATTTATCACGCAGTAAAAATGGCCAGAACCAGACGTCTGTGGATGAGAATCCGAAACAAGGACTGATGGGACGTTGTCCTGCTCCACTTCACAGACGCAGTGAAAGGACAATTTTAGGGTGACGGGACACTCATTTATATGACACACTTTATTCAACAGGAAGAACAGCTCATTCAGCGTGTCATACGTCATTACGCTATTTCTACGTCATTGCACATGCGCAGTCCTTTCAGTTTCGGTTTTCAATCCAAACAAGTGTTTAGCCTACATGTTCTCTTGATCGGATTAGAAAAGGAATAAACCACCCCTTTCAATCCAATCGAAATTTTGTTCGGATCTATCTCAATCGGATCGATTAAGGTGTGTACATGAAGGCTTTTCAGTCCGATTGAGCCGTCAATCCGATTAGGCCTACTAACAGATTATTTTGGTTGCATGTAAACGTAGCCAGTGCCTTAAAATTATGTTTAGACAGGACAGAAAGGTTTCGGAACAGATCTATCATGAATATTCAGTCATAACGGAAAACGGTAAACCATGCAAGGACCTTCAATGGATAAATGACTTCTGCAATCACTCTTTAGGCATAATTAATCATATTTAATGAAGTGGTCCGAACTCAGACAGTCAGCTAATGGGTGCTATTTCTGGTGTGAGTGTGTGTACTCTGACAACATGACCTTGAGCTTGTCTTCATGGAAAAGCAATTGGCGAAATGTTCACAGTCGGTCTGTACAGAACAGATACAGTAGCACCTGCATCAGAAAACATCAGATTTTTGATACTTTTGAATGATGAACTTGTCATGTGCAAGATGTATCAGTTCCCTTTAATGAACTTTAGGGGAAGTGAAAGGGTTTTGAAAAGCGATATTAAATATTAAAGAGGACTGATTAGCAGGTCCAAATTTAAAAATATGAATAGCCAGTTTAGATGCAGAACAGCACTAGTATGAAATCCAGGTCAAAGGTACTTCAAAGTAATTGTCAACTCCATACTCAGCAACCAGGCAAACTACGTCAAAGAAGATAATCTGGTTAACAAATGACTCATTTCACTTCCTGTAAGAGTTTGTTGAAATAATGAAACATCATACTCCAAAATGCATGTAGGGCTGCATAATTAATCTTAATAAAACCGAAATCATGATATGGCTGCAATTTAATTCATATTCACGGTGCGGTGTTCTTAAAACACAAGCAGCTCATCCGTCCACGAGCTGTTACACACAACCATCTTTGTGTTACACAACCATGTTTCCATACTTGTAATGAGAAAAAAGAGAAGCTTTAAGGACTCCTTGTGGTTTTCTGTTAAAATAAAAGTTTGATGGTTTTGATGGTTGGACAAAAATAAATTAATATCAGTGAAACTATTACTATATAATTTCTTAAATACAGGGAGTAGCATACTACTTTTTTGCATGTTTTTTGTTGTTGTTGCGTAACACACACCGTGTCAGATGCCATCTAAAAAAGATTATAGACAAAAATGTCAATACTCTATGAAATATAAGAGAGCATTTCAGTGGCTTTGGGCCTTGATCCGTTACAGTGGGACAGCTGAGTCATACTAGGTCTGATGGCAAATGGTACAGTGAAGTCACTAGTATTCTAGTAGAGATCTCTGCATATTGTCTCCTGAGCGAGCAATGGATTGTCATTAAGTGTGGCCCTAGAGATTGGCTAAGGATATCAATATGCCATAGAAGAGCAATTACAGTGCCAGGGCAAGATGCTCCTTCTTTATTAGCATGGAAAGGTGATTTGTAGGCCAAGTACAATGAAGCAGACTCAGTTTCACAGGCGATTGATGGGGGGGTTGGAGGAGAGAAAGGAGAGATGTGAGTGAGGGGGAGATTTCTGCAACATGAAACTATCCACATTACCTACATGAATATTTTATGATCTACAGCACAAATACATCAGTCGATTATCAGATAAAAGACATCTCTGAAGTCTTCAACCAGTGATTTAAAGGAGCCACACATGCTTTGTGGCTACATTCGCAATAAAGTATAAATGTATCTCTTATTGTATACCGCACAGTATACACAATACTGTCCTATCTTCATGTTGAGAAAGAGATAGGCTGTACAGAGCATCACAGTCCCGCCCACAGCTGGTGCCGGAAGTAAGAATTCAATACAATTTCTCCATTGACAGTCGGGGTATAAGCCATAAAAACGTAACCATACATGGAAGACTTAAAACCAGCTAAGGCTGTACTAAGCGATTGTATATGCTCATAAACGGCAAAAGTTCATGGGGCACTAACCTCGTTTTAAGATAAATGCTTTTTATTCGTGATGTCTTGGATAAGTACTTCATTACCCACAATCCTGAACAATCCCACAGTGATGCATCTGATTGGTGGAAGTCGTGTATTAAACCCCGCGAAGGTCTTTGAAGACTGAAGATGGTGTAATGACGTAGGGCTAGTTCATTGGTCGCACGTCAGAGGCGCCCGCGCCATTGGATGTGCAGTTGCCGCAGCACAGCCAATGAGCGAGCCAGATGCTCAATGTGTTAGCTGTGCAGCTGCAAATGCGTTTTACATATAAGCTTCAGTAAATCGAGGAAAAGGAGTTTCCCTGTACATGCACTATATAATTCACTGGAGGAAAAAGTTCACGTGGCCGTCGTCAGATTTGGAAGTCGCTCAAAAGGCTCTTTCGCGGTTGTGGCTTATGTCGACTTCAGTGAGGCGCGGTGGTTTATAGGATGAATATAGTTCCTTCGCTCGGAAATGAAAATATGTACACAGTCTTGTACCTTTCACTTTTTTGGGATTTTCTCTTCGTTTTTTTCACTTGAAATGATATGTTGAATGCTTATGAGTTCAGCCGTAGCTGGTTATCCTCAGACATGCTCTAAAACTCTTTAGATACGGATTTTCCAAAACGTCAATGGGAGAAATGAATGGGAAATTTACTTCCGGCACCAAAGCTCTCTCGGGCTGTGGGCGGGACTGTGATGCTCTGTTAAAAGTCTTCTGGTGTATTCATTACACTGGAAATGGAAAATCAAGTGGAACACACTGCATTCTGGGATAAAGTATTCCTTGTAGTATGCTTTATTGTACACTGTACATTTTGGCAAATGAAGTACTATTTCGGCAAATGTAGTACTATTTCATACTGCTTTCGTTTCATATATACAGAATTTTTGCTTAAATTACAATGTGCATAATATACTGTAGATAATAGAAAGAACACTGTGCTATCCAAAACGGACTTTAGGGCACCAAAAAAAGTCAGCAGGAAACTGCTTTCACAAAACATTTTACTTATGTTATGCATTTCTAAGTGAAACTATTCAATGGTGGAAAAAATAAAAGGGCAACACTTGATTTTATCCATCGATTTTATCCATTCGTAAAAAGTGGTCATGCTGTGACATGGTGTGACAGGCTTGGTGGCTTTTAGGTTTTTAGAAATGGAAAAAGATATTACCCATTGATTATGAAGATTAAAAACAAACGTGTTTTCTTTGGAAGATCATGCACTGATAAATCATTAAAGGGGTAGTTTACTCGAAAAATGAAAATTCTGTCATAATCTACTCACCCTCATGTCGTTCCAAACCTCTATGACTTACATTTTTCTGTAGGACATAAAACAAGATATTTTGAAGAATGTCGGTACCAAATAATTTTGGTTACATTGACTAGTATGTACTGTATGGACAAATTTAACACCACAACATTTTTCAAAATATCTTCTTTTCACAGAAGCACGGAAATCATACAGGTTTGGAAAAACATGAGGCTGAGTAAATAAATGATGACCCATTTTTGGGTGAACTATCCGATAAGAAGAAGAGCATAGATGTCTATTAAGAAGGAAATATAAGCAAAACCTTCGTATAAAATAAAATAATCAGCATTAGTGGAGTGACACTCTAGGATTTAAAGAAGAAAAACACATCTACTGTAGTAAACATTCCCATTTTCAATGGATCAATCAATGCTAACCACAACAAGGACAAGTGGTGCTTGTTTGAATATGAGATGTTCTACCAGTGTGTAAAAATGAAACAGAACTAAACACAGTTCATGCAGAGCAATGATGCATGATCTTGTTGATAAAGGAAGTCAGCACAGCACAGATTCAGACTATCCTCAAACCACAGATGTCAAGTTTCTAAAGCTGCTAAGAGATTAAAGCCATTTTGCTAACTTCCACCAGACCAAGTCAAACACTCGACCACACACTCTACAAAATCTGACCTCCTAAAGATATCTGTATAAAACAATATACAAGCTATAAAGTGTTGAAAAAGGCATGTCAGCAAACCCAAACATTCAAAATGATTGAGTGTTTGTGAGGTAATTAGTGTTTCTAAACGAATCTTTTCAGTGAACAAATCATTCTTGTTCACTACTACTATTCAATGACTCATTTTTGAACGAACTGAACAAACAAAACATCTTGTTCATGAAGTAACGTTAGTCTAACCGAACAAACTAAACATGTCGTTAATGAACAACCTACACACACAAACAATAAATGTTGAACGAAGATTTTCTGACTGCCTGGACGAAATTGGCAGTGAATCTCATTCAAAACAAAAAAGAGAAAGGGGTTGAGGTTTTATGAGGGGTCACTGCAGAATTTTTAATGAATCAGTTGAGTGATTATTCAGTGAAACACAAAAGATCTCACCATTCACTCTTTCACCTGATGGTGTTGTAACTTCACTGTACGAATAAGGAGTAATTTGTTTGCGAAATGATAAAATACTTGAAGGATGAATCGAATCACTAGAGTGAATCAAAATCACAGGCAACAAAACCATTTTAGCATATCACTTTAAACGAATAACAGGCAGAGAATGCTTATGTTTGGGAGAAAAATGGCAGACCACACCACTCACTTTTGCAGAACCTGATTTCACCAAGTCCAACATATTCCTGGATCAATGGAATGTTATTCCATTATCAATCAGATTTGAGGGACAAGTTTACAGTTTATGTCAAGTTTAGGCTTACAACAAGGGTTAGGTGCTTCTACATCAGTGTTATTCACCTAACATTTCCCTATGATTTTAGGGATAACTTATGAGTAGCAGGGTTAGGTTTAGGGGTTGGGATATGGTTGTTTAAATTTTCGGACAGGAATGTTGTTCCAGGATCAACCACATATGTTGATATAATTCGTCATAATCAGACGTGCCACACCCTTACTGGTGTTTACAGGAACCAAGACTGTCAAAGACAGGTGTTTTTTCTCTAGAATATCTGTCAGGTAGTAAGGATATTATTTATGTAGTATTGTGTGGATTTCCCCCCAAAATTGCTTACAGCACTTCTAAGTAAATACTGCGATGTGTATGTGGTTTTGTTGGGATTATCAGCAATTATCCAATCAGTTTGTCAGTTTTTACACACACAATTTTAGACATCACTATCACCAGTGCAACAACCTCAAGCGTGCTGCTGATCTGACAGGCCCATCTGACAGTGTGTAACGTTAAATTAACTAATAAACACATATTTACACACAGCCTGACCACGCCAGAAATACAGTTGCGAGACTAAGGTTATACTATGATAATATTGCGTACTAGTGAATATTGGCGTAAAAATTAAAGGTTTGGAGTATGAAATCGATTCCCTTATGATAATGTTGATAACACACACGCATGCACGCGCCAGCACTCATTAGCTCTAAGCACTAACAACAACAACAACAACAACACAATTGAACTGTCATTACCGTACGTCTCTGACATGTCGGTCGCACCGATAAAACCAATAAACCGGGCAGACGATACTCTTTATTCCCTCTTCAGATAACTGCTTTGCTGTGTTTTAGTTTCTGTGTGTAGTGGTGGTAGCCAACAGGCTAATTGCTAACGCCTCTCAACGTTTCCTGTTTAACAACACACAAACCTGCGCGTGCACAACGTGCTCGCGACACTGACGTGATGTCATGACGTGACCTTGTCATATAAAAACCTGTCATGTTTCACCACAACATGTCCAAAATAAATAAATGTTAAATTAATTGTTAAATACGGAGTTAAGAAGAGTTTTAGTTAAGCACTCGATTTTATAATGGAAATAGCCTATTATTTAAAAATTGTAGGTGTTATAGTAATTAATGTAGGCTACTCGAATCTGGACAAGTTGAGTGCCCTGAACAACGGTCACAATTAACATTTTATAAAACTTTTTTGCGAGTTAAAGCATATGACCATACATACAACAAAAAGCCTTTCATCTAATATCAATATAATTTAATAATAAGTTATCGCTCTCCCACGAGTCCCACAAAATCGTCTGCTTACCTGCAACAGAGCAATAACCAGGTGGTAAATTATACTTTGTCTTATAGCCAACTTATTCTTATTGCCAAGTATCTGAAAACGTAATAGATTATACTAGTCAAAATATACCCTAAATAGAGTTCATAGTAGGCTACGAACACACGGTGGCAGTCAAACTCCAGTCAGAAGTAGGCTATGTTGTTTGAGAATTGTATGTAGGGATGATCCATGGTGTAGTGTGGCTTGCTATCTATGCTTGGCTGCTATAGCCTACTTTATCTAAAGCTATAACATTGGGTTTCACTTCATTTCGATGGTCCACTTTAGACATTCTGCTAACTATAAGAAACTATCTCTAGTAGGCTAGACTGTTAGGTTTGGTTTTGGGTTAGTATAATAATTTGACATGTAGTTGTGAATGTATACTACATGTGGAAAAACTCATTTATCACACCACCAGACTGTTTAATGGAACTGCACAAAAGCTAAAATGTGGTTATAAATGGTGAAAAAAAATTGTAAAAATGGTGATTAATGCTTAAAAGACAGTGGCCAACCCCCCAAAAAAGTTTGGATTTTAATGCTAAGAGTCTATGATTGTATCATTATTGCTGTGATCATTATGTTTCTAGCATGTTATATGTTTGACAACAGTTCTTCTAACCCTAACTGATGGAGTGTGTAGCTTTTAATTTCTTAAACAACCATGTAGGAAGACACATCATGACCATATTCCAGGATGACAATGGCAAGATTCATCAGGCTCAAACTGTGAAAGAATGGTTGGGAGGGAGCGTAAAGAATAATATTCACACATGAATTGGCACCTCTGAGTCCAGACCTTAAACTCATTGAAAGTCTTTGGGATGTGCTGGAGGAGACTTTACAGAGTGCTGGACTCTTGCATTGTCAATACAAGAGCTTGACCAAAAATCAATGCACCTCTTGATGGAAATAAATGTTGTGATGTTATAACATGCTAAAAACACAATCACTGCAATCATAGACTCTTAAGCATTTGCCTTTTTAAATCCAAACTTTTTTTTGGCCGGGCGGTGTACATACTTTAATTTATGCATATTGCATAAATCAAGCAAGGATATATGCTTGCGTCACTTTTGTATTAAGAGTTTCCTCTGATGAAAACGTAATAAAAGTGTAGGTTGCTAGTCTTTGGCTTTACTGATTACATTCTTTTTGAAGCACAAGCGACTGTCATTGTCTGTTCTCTTCTGTCCACACATTCCTTCATGCACACTTTGAGGGGCCCGATGCAAACGTCTTCAAAGCCCTTGTCGTGCCAGACCGCCCAGGGCCCACAGGTGATAAATTACAGATCCCTCTGCCACTATCTATGATTTCCTCCCTGCCTTTGTTCTCTCATGACAGATTCCCCAGCATGTTTTCTGAAAGGTCTTTCTCGCTCAGAGATTAAAGGGAGGAGGGAGAGCCTGCCGTATGGAGCACGGATGTTTTCCTAATATTGTCTAAACTTTGAATGAAAGAGGCAGAAAAAGGGGGTTCTTTTTTCAGACCCCCAATGCTTCATGGCCTGAAGGCTCTGCCGTACTCGTACTAGGCCGTAACACCATAACACTTTCATTGTTTAGACTACGAGTTCTCCGTGTTTGTGACCTTGGACAAACCTGTTAGTAGTACAAGATTAGGACCAGGTCAGTCAGCCTGTTCTGGCGTTTGAGTGCGTTAATGAAGAGACATGTCAGGACATGTGCGGGAGGGTGAAACCTGCAAACATAAATTAGGCATATAGCTGCAAGCGGCAATAAGCAGAGCCCAAATGTACTTCTCAGGTAGATAAGAGTCAGGTTGAGGGTTTCTGAAGTGAAATTGCATTCTTAGTTTTAATTATGTTGTTAAAAAAACAGTGACAGCAAGGTGCTTTTCCTAGTTTGATGGAATAATTAGGCAGAACATTCCAAAAATATTCCAAAAGTGTCTCTGAACATTATAAAGGCTTTTATGGCGTACACAGACACATAATCTGTTTACATTTTTTAGGACACAGAGCTCTAGTGGCAGCTGACCAGTTTTTAGTATGAGGCCTAGAAGCTGTACATCTTTGCAGAGACAGATTTGCCCTGTCATGCTTGCAGAATATATATTTTCATTGTGTTGTTATCTGAAAACAAGGTGGTGGACATTTTGTTCTGCTATATGGATGCTATACTCCAATACTGAAATGCATATTTCTAATCATTTAATGATATTGTGTTGCTTGTGATGTTATGTTGCAATCTTCGTGCAAGTCTTTGAGCTTTTTTATTGAGTTTTGCGGGACTACGCAAGCGCTCTGCATCGCAAGCTACTGAGAAAGTTTACCATGCAAAGCCACACATATGGAGCTGGTTATGTGATGCAAATGTAAAACTGTATTAATTTACAAACCATGCATATGGTAAATGTGTTTTGAAGTGATAACAGTATTGTGCAAGGAACCGCAAGATATATATATACAATTTATGTTTTTCTTTTTTTGAAGAACTGTAGGATGTGAAAAAGTATTTCAGCTATTTTAAAATGAAATTCCACTGGTGTGTCTGTGTTATTTGTTTGAATTGCACTTCAGTACATTCTTTCTGTCATTCCAATTCAAATTCCAATAGAGTGCAACAGTCGGGTTCCAGAAGTAAAACTTGTCTCTATACAGGGAAATAACAATGACTTATAAGACCTACGGCGAGTTCAGAGGTTGTTAATCCATGGTATATGCTTTTGTTGAAACCATCTGTTTGCATTATTTCCAACATATTTTTTTATAATAATCATGTTTAACATCTGAATTTGTGGTGTAAATTACTCATGATTCTGTACAGAAAATTACCCTATTAGAGAATCGGAGCTAGAAAATCACAGCAAAAGAGCTTGCAGGAAACATCAATTTCCTTGAAGCACCGCAAATTACGTAAAGGTCGTAAAGGTCACGCTATGCTGTCAAACTAAATATTTGTATATATATGCATATTTTGCAATAAACTTAAAATATATTGTTTGTCATAATCAACAACTTTAAATTAATAGTTTTATATTTCTCAATATTTAGAATTTGATTATGTCATTTGCAAAGCTTTATGGGATTGTAGTTATTTCCCTCACTGAAGCCGTATTGTACTTTTTGTACAAACACTTTTTTGCTACAAATTCAAATTTGTAATGTTGTGATTCGCCTTGTAAATGGTTGGCTTGATTTATGACAGACACTAATGCACTCTATTCACAATTTTGTGGGTGTGGCTAAATCTATTCAAAATCATGGTTGGACCCTCCAGATCAGAGTTCAGAAATCATCTGAAGCAACCTCATCTCCCATTTAATCCACTATTGGCCATTGGAGGGCAGAGTTCGGGACTTTTAAAAATGAACCTCTAAGCATGTCATTTTCAGGAAAAAAAAGCCCCCTGTATTCAGTATATCTAAGAAAAAAAATAAACAAACAAAAGTGTACTACCAGTAAACTCGTCAATGATAAACCGGGACTCAGTGCTTCAGTGAACAACATTTGAGAGTCTGTGAAAACACCAAACTTTCCAGGTCATGATAACGAGTCACCTTCTAGAGTCAGGTTACACTGATTCTTTGTTTAGCAAATTCTCTCTACATGAACACAATTAGATGGAGTTATTAAAGTTTCTCTTAAAGCTGAAGTGTGCTATATGCATAATCAAACAGACTTGGACATAACTATTTTAATTGTGAACACGCAACCATTGGTTGGCCAAACAGATATCCTCATCTCAAACTCAAATGGCTTAAAGGAGGGTATGCGATTTTTTTTTTTTGATAAACACTTTTTGTTATACTGGTTGAAACTCTCTTCACATCCTGATAGCAATAAATAATCGAAGACACCAGACATTGAAGACTGCAGCCGCTATAGCACACCTCTTGAGGTCAGGGGAGTGAGATTTACACACACAACTCTTACTGGTCTACATCCGTTAAACTCACCCCATAAACCTCACTCCCAGCCCGGGTCACGGCACCAAATGTAACCTGTCCTACTCGATCCGCTCCAAGCGGGATTTAAACTGTGGTCTCAGGCGTGGGAGACAGGCATGCTAACAAGGACGCTAAAGACCGCAGCTGCTAGCATCAGTCGTTAGTTTGCCTCTTGAGGCCAGAGGAGTGAGGTTTACACGCACAGCTCTTACTGGTCTACATCGGTTACACTCGCCTCTCCAAAATTGCCTACCCTACCTTTAGTTTATAGTTGTCTGCATATTAAGCTATAGTAAAGTAGAGAAACATGTGGTCGCTTAGTTTTTTTTTTTTTTTTTTTTGAGTGCTTTTGCTGTAGTTCCCTCTATAAGGCTTCTTCAGGCTAATAACTAAAATAATCACGTTTTGCGAGGGAGAAATTACCTAAAAGGCAAAGTATTCTTTAAATGTATTTTCTCCCCACTTTCTCCCTATGTTCTTCTACTCTGCAATATAGAATAAAGAGAAGGGTTAAAATAGACATGGTGTGCAGAAGCATAAATAAACCCTCTCCTCGGGATCTTGTGTCTGTTTTTAACCCATCTGTGGTCAGTTTTCTGAGACTGGACAATCCTTAGAGACGAGCATGCTTTTTAAAGAGTGATTTCAACAGTGGAGACTGACGCAAGCA